TGGAGTGAGTCCTTTTAAACCAGTTGTCGACTTCTGTGCGGTACCAGTAGATGAGCGCCGTCGGCTAGCTGGAGAAGGAAGGGCTGAAACCGGCACACTACTACTGCCTGGTGGATATTTTGGCAATTTAGACATTGTATAAAGAAGTATCTAAAGATGTGGTTTGTGTTCGTCCAACAACACAAGAGCAAGTATTTTATTTAAATCTTTGCTCGGTCGGGATCTACGAAAGACTAGGAAAGATTGTTTATTTAATATTGTTAACGTTAATAGCTAACTTATTTATATATACAGTGTAACAAATCATAAAACTCTAAACGTGTGTACTATTATGGAAAACCTGTAGGATATCGCCATATCTGAAAGGAACAAGAATAAGTCCCTTACTGACTTGTTGTTTTACGTCATATTGATATATAAACTTGTTTGTAATATTGATAAATATGAATGCCATGTTCATCTATTTGCATGAATTGTAATTTGCATGAATTGTAATTTACATGAAATTTATCACGTGTCAAACTTCGAGCCATGCTTTTTATTTTTATTTTTTCAAATAACATATTTTCATAGTATCTGTAGTATCTGTTTAAATAATTAACAGTTGTAATTGTATGAGTAATATTCTCAAGTATGAAAAGAGCATTTCATATTCGTAATTTAGCATATATTTCAAATATCAGCCTAGTTGATTCATTTTCATATTATTGTACATGCGGATAAGGAACCGGGATCACATTTAACAAGGAAAACATTGATCTTGCTAATCTTTTTTGCCCTTCTCTTATAATGGTAATAACTTTTCCACTACGACCCATTCTTCCAGTACGTCCTGACATATGCAGATACTCAGTCGAAGAAGATGGCATCCCTAAAATAAACACGTGTGATGCAAAAGAAATATCAATTCCTCGAGCAGTATATTCAGAAGCGACAAATATTGTGCTTGACGTTGATTCTGACGGGATGTTCCATGGTGAGCTTTTTATTTCTTTGTTCATGAATGAGTTAGCTAATTCCTTTGTAGTTATGCCAAACCGTTTAAGACGCTCAATCATCGCTGGTATATTGATTTTATTATTCACAAAAATCAAACCACTTTGTACATTTTCAAGTTCAATTGTACCAGCAACACTATCCAACATCCTGTCATCATCATCATTGAAATCCTGTGTTCGCTCCTCAAAACTTTTAATATCGTATTTACTATGCCAATCAGAAAAATCGGCTGATGTTATATTCTTGATTTCTTTTGATGAAACCAAGAGGCAATAATGTTCGATTAAGGGTGGTGATAAAGTTCCTTGAGTCATATCAATAAATATTGGATCTTCTGAGTACTCGTTATCTTTAAGATAAAATCGTAGTGTGCGATTTAAAGTCGCAGAAGATACCACAAGTTGAGGCCTAGTTTGTTCGAAGATTTTTTGAGTTAACAATTCTGCTGGTTTCGGATGAATCAGTCTATTTCGAATCCTCTTTAATGGCGCATGTTTGGTAGGAAGTCTTAACAGATGATCTGCTTCATCTAATGCGAGAGTTTTTAGATTGGAAAAATTTAATAAGCCTTCTGCGGCGAGGTCACTAAGTTTTGTCGCGGTACCTACTAAAATATGTGGTGGTGTGCTTTTCAAATCATTCAGTTGCCTGATCTCATCATGCTGAGAGGTTTTTGCAACGACTTGAATAATCGATTTTAGGGGCAACCCGGAATTAATTAATAATAGATGCATCCAATTTTCAACCTGAAATCCCAATTCACGACTTGGAACAACTAATATACTAGTTATACATGACTTTTTCGCAGAGGAATGGTTTTCGTATATTTTTTGGTTCCGTGACTTATTTAGTAAAGCTAAAACTATACCAAATGTTTTTCCAGACCCTGTAATATCTCTAACCAGAACATCCTTTCCATCAAGGATAGCCGGTATTAATGTTTTCTGACACTGCGTTGGTGTTATTATATTAAAATTTTTATCCAATGCTTTGCATATAGACTCTCGAATTCCTAAGCTCTATATATCGCGTAAATATTAAAGAATATAAAACAATCAATATGAACATAAAAGAATACTACTACCGCAAATGTACTTGGAGCAGAAACGAGCTCTAGTTTTTTTGGATGCTTTTTTTCGATTTTTAAAGACATTGAACTTCGATAACGTCTACATATTAACAAAAATTTAAGTTACATAAACTAGTAATCAAATAGTATAAGTACTTTTTATATGTGTGCATTACTTTATGTTTACATATTTCAGATCGAATTTAAAGCACGTAAACGCGCTGCTACAGTAATCCTTTTGAAGGATTGGATCATTATTTATTAATCGAATTAATTGACCGTATCGAAAAATAGACATCGCTATGTATTAAGATTACATAGCATCTAAGCCAATGGGTTAAAGTCATTAGCGGATGGATTGTAACTAGGGCTCCAAACCGGTTTGAAAATCTCGGACTCATTTCATGTGATATAAAATGTGATACTGTATATAGGTAATATCGTCACTTCTGATACATTTTTTTACTAGAGTATTTATATAGGATGGTAGTATTAAACTAGAATTTTCGGGTATAAGGCAAACTTAAAAAAAACAAACCAATTACGCAATACTTTATTAATTAAATAGCTTCGTAGAGAACATCTTTTCAAGAAACTCAAGTTGTATCACGCTGCATCATACTGCATTACGTCGTTCTGTTAGCGGTTGAAGTACTATCTATTCTATAGTAATATAATAAAAGTATATTATACTGCTTAATTCACAAAGTTTAATGTTGTTTTCTGTTTCTTTTTTTTTTTTTTTTTATCTGTTATTATTTAAATAATTTAATTTTTGATTTTATTATAAAATTTATAGACTGTTTTCGAAAATTGTATATTTTTTAGAAGATATTTAATTTAATAGAAATTGTTTTATTTTTATTTTTTTTTTAACTTAGATAATCTTGTTTTTCATTTATTAAGAGATAATATATAAAATATTAAAATAATTATATAAACTAAACTAATTTAGCTATATGACTGTCTTTTTTCTTTAATTCTGAACTCATTTAGCTATTTTAAGTGCTTAAATACAATCTGTTGTAATAGCAAAATTTTCTTTCTAAAAGAATAGATTGCTTAAGTAAATTTTTATTTTAATTATCTATAGAAGGTTGTTATATGATTGTATCAAGATTACTTAATTATTTTTAAAACTTAATTAATTTTCTTTTAAACTATCTTCTTTTTTTAGTTATTTCTTAAGTCTTTTTTTTTTTTTTTTTACTTAATAATTTTTTTATTCTTCTTTCTGCTAAGCTTATATTTTTTTTATAGTATTTTTAATGAGTTTTATCTATTTTATTCATATTATTATTTTTTTTTTTCTTTAATAAGAGGATCTTGTTGCTCACATTTTATTCAATTTAAAACTAATGATATAATATAAATATGTTACAAAATACTTAAGTATAATATAATATTTTAGACAATCCTTATATCATATCTTCATAACTAATGCTAGTCTAAAAAAGCTCTCTAAATTATACTAACATATTGAATTTTTACTTATAACTCATTTGAATACTTTCAGAAGCCTTAAGTATAATTAACCTACTAATAATTTACTTCTCAAAAGTTTCTATATAAGGTATACAAAACAAATCAAAATCCTTGACAGCTTGTTGACAGCCTAGTTAAAAACTTCTTGTTCATCTTCTATTCTGTATTAATCTGATCTAAGATGAGTAGGCAATGAAAAGAAAAATAAAAATTTTAATATATAATGAAAAATACAAGGTCATGTATTATATAATAAAGTTGAATAAAGGAAACTTGCTAATAGATAAAAACCTTTAAACAACAAAAAGCAAAAACAAAAGAAGTCTAATATTCTTCTCAGAATAGTATAAAAATTGTGTATATATAATACTAAAGTTATTCTTTAAATTCTCAAAGAAGTAGAATAATATATTACAGAGAGAATATCAACAACTCAGGTTTCTTATAGTATATGTATAGCTTAACATATATTTGTTGTTTGTTTATAGCATGAGAAACAACAAGCTACTACTCAATTATTTTTGTTAATACGTGTTGCAGATCTTTTAGAGAAAGTAAGCCAAATTCTCTAAAAAAATACTAATAAGTTAAAGAAAAAATCTAAAAGATAATATTGGAGAAAGCTACTTCTAGAAGAGTAAGATTTTGCTACTTATTTTTTTACTAAAACAGTATAAATACTTGTTGAACTAGCTATTCCAATACTAGCAAACTACTAGTAAATGTCACTTAGAACAACAGAGGTATTTAACAATTTTTCTTGTATCCACTACTT